CACACACACACACACACACACACACACACACGGGTGGGGTAGGAGAGAATGTTCTTCAAGAGCAGCTTATTGTTGTTCATTGCTAAGGAAACCCAGTGTTTTGTACCTGCCGAGGCTGCATTTCACGCTCTGTTGGAGCTGCCTCTGTGCTCAGGAGGGCAATGAATTTTACAGCACACAGTGTGGAGGTGGCTGTACCACTCACTCTGAAACCGTGTCAGATGCCACAGGTGTGGCAAGCCAAATCTTTTAATACCATTTCCACTCCTGGGAATTAAATTCGTTCTCTGTGAACAGGGATTCATAAATCCTGGCCCTGCCTTCAGAACGGCACTATGATTTCACCGGGGTGATAAATTGCTCCTATCAAAACAGACATCGAATCTCCCAGGGACATAATGGGCTCCCACGGTACAAAGTGTCACGTCTTAAGCGCTTATGATCAAGACCGGTTGTGAAGAATTGAGTCTTGGGAAATCAGAGAGAGTATTTTTTTTTTTTTCTCTGAGACTCTCTTAAGTTGTGAGAGGTACAGAAGAGCGGGCGAAAAGGATGTGATTGAATTTAAAGAAAAAAAAATCTACTGTAAAAATGCTCTTCGGGGCCCATCAGCTGTGAGCCGGAGGGTGAGGCTAGGGTGTGCGTGGTTGGGGGAGAACTACAGGGTTAGCTTTTCCAGTCTCCCTGGCTAGATGTGAAATGTGGCTGGGTGAGGAAGTATGCTGTCAGGGAAGGTGATTTATGGAGGCCTACAGGCACTCCCAGACTGAGAATTCTGCCTGATGACCAACCTGAATTGCCTGCTGCTCCCCCAGAGCTGAGGGGCACAGGCCGAGGCCCAGTGACAGAAATGCAAGTGTCACCTGGAAAGAGAGACCCATTAAGCCATCTCTCAGCCATTTATCTTAAACCACGCCCCCATAGCTGGCCTCTCACACTGACCTACAAGCCAGTGGGAGAATGGATCTCATTGTTGCTTACTTCTTCCTCACTTCTCACTTCGTATCACTTAGACTCTTGACTTTGCCAAAAATGGCACCGCCTCTTTCCCAAGTCATACTCAGTTGGGGCTCACGGACTGTACTGGATGCGTTCTCTAGGTCTCTGCTGTCCCGGTGGCTCTCCTAACTCTCAAGGGAGCAGACAATTGTTCTGGTGTATAGACGGCTAGTATCCTTACGTGCATTCAATCAACCAACATTTATCAAGTTCATACTATGTTTTAGGCACTGTGCCATGCATCTGGAGTAGAGGAAAACCAAGGCGGGTCTTATGCTAGGAGATGCCCGGGTACAATTGCACCATGAACCTCAGGGAACCTGGTTTCTGATGCTTGTCTTCTGCAAGCTGTGTGCACTTGTGTGTGTGTGTGTGTGTGTGTGTGTGTGTGTGTGTGTGTGTGTGGTGGTGGGTGTTAAGGGGGGTTGCAAGAGCATGGAGAGTGTAAGAGCATGGGGAGTAGGGTTTAGAGTTAGGGGGTCAGCTCTGCTTTTTTGGGGGTGTCTGGTATTCGCTCTTTATTGGTGCAGCGGCAATGTTGGGCTACGTGTTATTTCGCGTTTTAAGAGTTGTACGAATTGAAGTAATCTAAAACAGCAGTCTGGTTTCCAGAAATGGCCTTCGAATTTCAGAAATCTTTACAAAAAGAAGGGAAAGAAAACCATCCTTGTTCCACCATTTGGAATAATCATCATTAATGTTGAACTTCAGTAATTAAACGTCTCTTGTGCATGCAGTCCCCAGACAGAACAGGGATAGCTCCTGTCTTGTTTCTCATTTAATTCCCCCAAAGTCCATCTTCCTCTGCAGCCTGAATTTTATGGTTTAGAGTAATGACTGTGGTCATTATTGTTATTACTGCCATTGCTATGTATCACTTATCAGGTATTTACGAATTGCTGGGCGCCGGGCCAGGTGGTTTAGAGTGGAGGTCTTTAAATCCAGCTGAACAGATGAGGCAGGTCCTGGGATTCCCATTTTCAAACATCCAAGGCTGACAGCCCTTGAGCCAACGGCTGGAGATCACACCCTCGAATGTCATTGTCCCTGCGGTGAACCCAGATGCCCAGGGATTCCACTGCAACCCGTGGGTGCCCCCACCCCAGAATGTTCTCAAGTTTAGAATCCACACTAAAAGTCTGCACGTGCTCTGTTCTTACTTTTGCTGGATTAAATGCTTAGAGGCAGCATCGGAACATCAGGGACCCCACTAGCTTTGGCTTTTATGCTGCCAAACCGCTCTTCTTGTGACCAGAGGCCGGGCCAGGAATGTCCCTGGAGGATGTAGATAAACGGAAGTGAGGTCACGTAGAAGAAGAGAAAGACACCATGCTGGGAGGGGTGTGGAGGGGTGGGGGTCGGGAGTGGGGTAGGTATCAGGAGACAGGTCATGAAGGGTAGCTCCACTTCTGAAGTGGTCTTCAGTCCCTGGGGTAGGTAGCAGGCAGAAATGACAACCTTCTAGCCTCTGGGTTGGCTGCGCTAACTCAGAGTTGGTCATGTTCAACAAATGCTCACCTTCCCTTTCCCGTGGGGGTGGGGGTGGGGGTGGGGGTGGAAACCACCCACCGAAAGCAGGGCCTCTGTTGTCCTCCTCTGCTTAGCCCAGCCCAAGGCTTGTGCCAACTTTTCCCATGTAAAAAATGTTAGCTGGAATTCCGGTGCCATCAAATGAGACCTTTGCTCTTCCCACCTGCACAATTATGACTCTAATAAACTCGTTATCAGCTCGTGAAAAATGATGGCAAACAGCTGACTGAAGGATTTGATAAGTCAGCAGCAGAGATTAGCAGTTCTTTTCGGAGAAAGCCGTGAAGAGGGTTCCCCATTTAAAACAATCGTGGCGCACGGATTCGCAGCACTTAAATCATTATCGGCAATTACTCCTTGTCAAGAAAGGTTGCAGCTGGCTCCAATTACAGGTAAGATTTTTATAATTTGAAGTTAGTAGTGCGTCTGAGAAGTCGGACTTGGAGGAACACTTTCAGGGGAGATTTGCAAATTGAGAAAAACTTTGAGGCATTTCAGAATTTAAATGTTCATTATTTCCAGAGCCATGCTTTGTTCCTGACATCTATTAATAAGCTTCTGAACATTTCCCATAAACACCACCCTTCAGTTGTTTCTTCCCTAACAGAAAAATTGATGGTGGTTTTAAAAAAAATGTTTTTTAAACTAATACGCACTTTAAAAAAAAAATGAAGGGAACCAAATAAAAACAAGTGGGCATCCCGTCCTCAGAATCACAAAGGTAAGCACATTTGTGTTAGATTCTTCTAGGAGGTACCATCACTTCCCTAGAATTATTCCTGCTTTACAGTGTTGATGTGTTTGAAATCTTCATCTGGAAATCGAATAATTTAGTGTCTGAGCTGGGCATGGCGGCACACGCCTTTTATGCCAGCACTAGGGAGGCAGAGGCAGGTGGGTCTCTGAGTTCAAGGACAGCCTGGTCTACAGAGGGAGATCCAGGACAGCCAGGACTACACAGAGAAACCCTGTCTTGAAAAAAACAAACAAACAAAAAAAAACAAAATAAAACAAAACAAAAATTTTAGTATCTACCTGCCTGTCCCCTCTCTTTTGCATGTGGTGATTATTGCCGATTATCTATTTTTAAATATTTGTCTGTAGCCTTACTGATTAAAATCGTAATTATTTTTTGACCTACTGATTTGAAAATCTGCTTGTAAGATCAATTAAACACTCTCCTCCCCAAGTTGCTTTTGGTTGTGATGTTTTATCACAGCAATAGAAACCCCGACTAAGACACTAATACACCATAGAAGAGATAGTACATTTTTTTTAGACCAGTGGTTCTCAACCTTCCTCATGCTGTGACCCTTTAATACAGTCCCTCATGCTGTGGTGACCCCCAACCATAAAATTATTTCCATTGCTGCTTTGAAACTGTAATTTTGCTACTGGTGTGGATTGTAATGTAAATATCTGTTTTCTGGTGGTGTTAGGCGACTTCTGTGAAAGGGTCGTTAAACCGCTGTTTTAGACCTTCTAGGTTCTCAGTTATACACTGTATGTTTCTGTCTTGAAGACAACCTTCCACGGCCTCAGCTTCCCTTTGACTCTGCCCACGGCTGTGTAGGCACACTGCAGATCTGGCCGCCTCAGCTACCTCTATGATCAGCCTTCCCGCTTGGCTCACAGTGAGAGGCAGGTCTCTCACTGAACCTGGAGCTCACTGATTCCTTTAGACTAGCTGTCTGTTGAACCTCTAGGTAGCTAATATTCTCTTCTGGGGTTTGCTGGTGTTGTGATTTCCTATCTTGATGCATGTTTTAGTTATTTGTCTCATTTCTGTGACAGAAGACCCATCCTGAAACGACTTGGGGTAGGTTTTACTTTGAAACATAGTCGGTCAGGGTGGGGACTGGGAGCTGGTCACATGGCATCCACAGACAGGAAGCAGAGAGATGTATGCTGGTACTTGGCTCACTTCCTCTCTGTTCAGTCTGAGATCCTATCCCATGAATGGAGCTGCCCACATTTAGGGTGGGTCTTCCCATCTAAATAATCCAATCTAGAAGCACCCTCAGAGACAAGGTGATCCTAGATTCTGTTTACAATCAGTATCATCTATCACAGTGTGTGTATCTGGTTGTTGGTGGTGGGGTCAGGTGGGGCAGAGGAGGTGGGAGCATTTCAGAGGCTTGATTTATTTTTCCACTTGGTTTCTTCTTTTGTAGGAGAATATTATTTTAAGGTGTGTTGCTTTTGTTTATGTTGTATTTGTTTAACTCTGTGAAGCTGTGTTACTGTGCCTGCCTAAAACACCTGGTGGGCTAATAAAGAGCTGAACAGCCAATAGCGAGGCAGGAGAAAGGATAGGCGGGGCTGGCAGGGGAGAGTATATAGAAGGAGGAATCTGGGAGAAGGAAGAAGGAACAAGAGAGGAAGGATGAGGACATCAGGGACCAGCCACTAAGCCACCCAGCCACACAACCAGCAACGGAGTAAGAAAGAAAGATACACAGAAATAGAGAAAGGTAAAAGCCCAGAGGCAAAAGATAGATGGGATAATTTAAAGTTAAGAAAAGCTGGCAAGAAACCAGACAAGCTAAGGCCAAGCTAAAGCCTCCATGTACGATTTATTTGGGAGTTGGGTGGTGGGTCCCCCAAAAGAGTACAAAACAACCAACAGCATCTTACCACCTACCCTAAGGCCTCAGCTCTTGCAATCTGACACATCCCCAAGTACCACTGAGGTATACATTTGGGGCCGAGGGAATGTCCCCTGTGGGTCTGTGGACCAAGGGGAGACACTCTGAGTCAGACTTAGCCCCTTCTTTCTTTAAGCCATTCCCCACATACTCCTTCCTGACCAGAGGACTCTGTTATCAGTGACGCCCCGTAACGCCTCCAGTCTCCGGCTATCCTGTGTTGGTTCAGCTCCTGTACCCAGCAGTCCTCAGACTGTCTACAGCATCCAGCTCCTCAGTATGCCATCACCGACTTCATGACTGTGGGTGTCTGTGGAAGACTTACGGAAACCATTGATGTCCACCCTGACCGTAGTCTAGGGGATCGGTCCTCTGGGGACTACCTCTCCCCAGTCAGTCCATTCTTGGTCTGAAAACTGCCTGGGTCCAGACACCAGCTCCAGAGCTGACATTTGACTTATTGGGTAGATTCTTTCAGCCTCTTGACCATTTTTTTCCCCTTTGGGGAAAACAAAGTATTTGGGGGTATGTAGATTTGAACAGTACCTTCTCTGGCTGCCCGGATCACACTCTGGGGTATGCTTTCTGTGTTGTCCAACCTGGAGGGTTTTTCTGGCTACCACCCCAGGCTCCATCCTCACTGTAATGGCACCTACCTCACTTCTAAGTAAATGTGACCCTGTTCTTCCATGAGGGAGTCCTGTTCTGTAATGCAGGATGGTCACTTTGGGCCCATTCAATCTTCCCCCTCTCTCTCCTCACCCTCTCTCACTTTCTCCTCATCCCTTCTTTCCTTCCTAACCTCTCTTTCCCTTTCCTTCCTCCCTCCCTCCCTCTCTTTCCCTTTTCTCTTCTTCTGCATTTGTTGATCCCCCATCCCACAGCAGGCTGGGAATGGTCTCTTTGGTCTGTTCAGTGTGGGGTTGCCCGGCAGAGGCTGAGATTTCCAGGTGTGCCCTGTCACTCGACCTCTCTGTACCTCTGGGTTTCTTCAGGGGTCTCCCTGCCGATGTGGAAGATGGTCAGGCTTCAAGGGCCCTGGGTGCTTCTTCTGAGGTGTGTGTGTCTTTAGACGGCTGCGTTACTTTGAAAGCACAGAGTACACGTTTGTAAACTGAGACCCTATGACAGTGGTTCTCAATTGGTGGGCCATGACCCCTTTTCCAGGGGTTGCCTAACACCATTGGAAAACACAGACATTTACGTTACGATTCATCACAGTAGCAAAATGACAGTTATAAAGTAGCAATGGAAATAATGTTATGGTTGGGGGAGGTCACCATAGCATGAGGAACTGTATTAAAGGGTCACAGTGTCAGGAAGGTTGAGGACCACTGCCCGATGAGGTCATAGACGTCTAATCTCGTGGGCCCACCATGGGGTGTGTGGTCCATCATTAAGATATCTTTCTGTCATGCATGACATGCTCCTTTCCATCAGTTTTTAAGAACACGACTATTTTAAAGGGTGCTGTTTAACAAGTAGAGTGTAACGGAACCACGTATGGGTGTAGATTCTGACCCATGTTCCTGGGTCGTGGTGGTTGCCTGCACACTGGCCAGTGAGGCATCATGGGTATGAAATGTTACCAAGTGCATGTGTTTCTTCACATTAAAAAAAAAAAATGTTTCACTATGAAAAACTCCTCCTTCCAGCTTTAGCCATTCCGCAGGAAATCGCAGGGAAGCAGGCAGGCCTGGGAGCGGTTTCCATGCCCAAGTCAATGCATCTAGTAATTAGTCCTTTGTTTGCCTGAGATGTTCACACTCACCATGTTTCATTTCCACGTCCACACTCCTGCTGTCCTGAACAGTGGCGCTGCCATCGTGAAGTAGGCAGTGAGACCGTGTGGCTGCCCCCTTCCTTTTAAAGTGCTCATGGGAGGTGGAATTCCGGTTTCCGCTTGTTCTGGCCTCACCACTGTGGGAACTGGGTCTCATTCTTTGCTTTCTCTTCAACCTTGTCCTGTGTCCAGACACCACAGTGTTGGCCTGGGTCCTTCAGGATTCCTAAGGTCAGGATTGACATTTGTAAACAGTCCTTTAGGGCCAGATTTTAAAACAACAACAACAACAACAACAACAACAACAACAACAACAACAACAACAACAGAAGTCTTATAAAAAGGCCACCCCTGGGAAGAGCTGTCTGGCCGGACAGTTTGCAATGATGGGGTGGGGTGGTGGTGGCTTCGGGGGAGGGAGATGTCCAAAGCACTTGCTTCTCTCCCATGTGTTTCCTGCAGACTTTCCCTTTGAGCACATTCCTTGAATTAAGTTTTCCCTCTCTAAGAAACAGACAAGCTTGATTTCCATCCTTGGGAAAGTAATGACCCAAGCCAAGCCTCCCCAGAGTGTTTGGCTCATGGAAGGAATGGTAGCCTCACGTTTTAGTGTTTGATGTTGGATGCACATTTGGGGCTCTGTTGAACCCCCCCCCCAAAAAAAAAACCCAAAAAGAACAGACAATTAAAAGAGATGATGAGGGGGCTTGAGAAATGGCTCAGCAGTGAAGAGCACTGGCTGCTCTTCCAGAGGTCCCAGGTTCAATTCCCAGTACTCACATGGCAGCTCACAACTGTCTGTAACTCCAGTTCCCGTGGATCAAACACCCTCACACAGACATACATGCAGGCAAACCACCAATGCATGTAAAATAAAAATAAATAAATCATTTTAAAAAAGTTAAAAAAAAAAAAGAGGATGAATAAAAACAGACGTCCATGACTTCCACCACTATAGCACTGAGGCATGATGAGAATCTTTTCCTGACTCTCATCCACTGGTCTGGGGTTTTATTCAAACTCGATGGACTTCCTTACAAGGACTACAGTCTTTCCTTGCCCGAGGAAGCAGTCTGCTTTGGTGTCCATGTCGTTGGCCCAGTGGTGGAAGAGGCCGCCTATTGTTGGTCATGAGAGCAGACACTTAAGGATACCTTGTGAAGGCTGGCATGTGGCTTGGTCGGTAGAGCACTTCCCTAACATGCAGAAAGTCCTAGAACAGCGGTTCTCAACCTTCCTAATGCTACAGCTCTTTAATACAGTCCTCACGTTGTGGTGACCCCCAACTGTGAAATTATTTTCACTGCTACTTCAGAACTGTAATTTTGCTACTGTTATGAATCATATATGAAACATAATATCCGTGTTTTCTGATGGTCTTGGGTGACCCCTGTGAGAGGGTTTATTGACTCCCAAGGGGGTCTCGGCCCACAGGTTGAGAACCATTGTCCCAGAGTCAATGTTAAGTACCACAAAAACTGGGCGTGGTGGTACATTATGGTGATTGCAGCAACTGGGAGTTAGAGAGGCTGGAGGGTGAGGCTGGAGTTCATGGTCATCCTTCATTGTTTAGAAAGTTTGAGGCTAGCCTGGGCTACATGAGACCCTGTCCTTAAACAAACAAACAAAAGACTTGTTAAGTTCCCATTGCTGTCTTAATTGATCACCTATCGTGGTGGCTAGAGCCCACAGATGATTGATTATTCTGTTCTAAAAACAAAGTCTGTAGCAGGTGCCAGCAGTCCTGAAGTCGAGGTATCAAGACCTGCATGCTGTCAGGAGGCTCTTTGTGAGACTCCTCCTTCCCAGACTCCTCCACCTTCTGGTGGCAGCTGTCACTCTTTGGCTTGTGGCTGGGTTGTTCCAGGCTCTTCCTCCACAGCCACGTTATTTCTTCCTTGGCCTCACCTGACAACCTCCCCACCCCTTCTTTTAGATGGACACCAGGGGAGTCTTTAGGGTCCCTACTGATAACCCAGAATAAGCCTTATGTTAGGATCCTTAACATACCTGCCAGGTCTCATAGAAGGAGATACTTGTAGGGTCTGGGAGTTGGGTGTAGATTCTGTTTCGGGGGTGGGGCGTTATTCCCACCACCGGAAATGACTCACCGTTGGTGCTGGCTGCCAGTCAAGAGTGATGAGGTGCCTATGGTCTTTATTACAGTTAATGCTTTTATTCTGGTAGATGTTGAACCCGAAAGCAGGCCATGGGCAGGGATCCTCCTTGCTGTGTCTGTGGGAAGGGCAGCACAGGCTGAACCCACAGCCGCAGCTCTGTGCTCGGGGGAAATAGCAGCTCTTACAGGCAGAATTGGGAAGGTTGTCATGCTGCCGATTGTTGATGGATGGTCTTGTGTGCAGGCTGTTTCTGGGTATCTCTCTTTTACCCGCTTTCCATGTCTTTGGACCATGGGTTATGATGTTCCGTCTTCTTTAAGACTTCCGGGTCATCAGGAACTTGAAATGATCGAAGGCTAGTCCCATTCTGGGAGTCTCTTAGCTTTGTGCCAGCGGTTCCTTCAGGCTGTTTTAGGATCCATCCATCTGGAAGCCACCTGCCCAGTCCTCTGGGCTCCTCTGCTTGCTGGGACCTTCTCCATGGAGGTCCGTGAGGTTCTCCCACTCGAAGCTCTCCTGCCTCTGCAGTCTCCCTTCCCAGTTTCTTCTTTCTTATGGAGTCTATCAAGCCTTGGTCTAACCCAACATGCTTGTGCTTTGAAACCACACGCTGTTTCACAAGATACCAAAGTTCATTCTCATGTGAAAAACACACGAGCTTGCTCCTTTCTTCCTCTCTGCCTTCCTGAGGCGCTAGTCCTGCTGGGGGACGCGGCTGCCGCCACATCTAGTTACTTGAGTGGGGAGAGCATTAAGAGGAAGGCCCTTGGAAGGCACTGTGGTTAAACAGAGGTATGGTGAGGGGAAATCACCCCGGCCACCATGTTGATCTTGACTGTGTGTTTCCTGAGTCCCAATGTGACCTCTTCCCAGGCATCTGATTGCGTTATCTCCTATCAAATGTCTACACCCAAGACCACACAGGCCAAAGCAAACTCATCAGCATCTTGCCCGTGACTTTCTGTTATCACCACCCTGAAGGCCTGTCTCCTATCTGCTTTCCTTTTTTGACAGTCACTAGCCCTCATTTCTTTGTTTCTGGAAAAAAAAAAATCCGTATTTATCTAGAAACCACCACTGTGCAGGGCAGCCGGAAGCAGCAGATCTAAAAGGAAATCGGAGTCTCGCAGTTGCATAAAAATGCTGAGAAGCCTCTGGAGAGGAAGGGTAAAGGTACAGGAATGGAGAGAGGTGGCATTTGGGGACTGAAACCGTGACTTTGTGAAGCTGGTTTTCTGTCCAAATAATCTCCACACCAAAGGCGATTTAAATCCAAGCCATTTTGGATAAGGAATCCCAAAGCCACCACTGAAATTGTTTGTAGAAAGACACAGGGAGGGAGAACCAGTGCCAGGACAGAAGAAGAGGATGAGGGGAGCGCTGCTCTACAGCACATCTTAAACATTAAGTGTCGCAAAGGAAGAGCACATTGACGGAGTGGCGTAGTAAAGCTCAACAAGGAAAGGAGACCGGGGCAGGGACGTGGAGAGAGAGCCAAGGGAAGGCTTAATGGGTCAGGACAAAAGTTTTGACCAGCTGGGCATGGTGCCACATGCCTTCAATCCCAACAACTGAGGGACAGAGGCAGGTGAATTTGTATAATGAGTCAAAGGCTAGCACCTGTCACAAACCAAACAAACAACAAAATAAACAAAACCCGACTCAAACAAACAAAAGGTTCCCATCATTCCTCAACACCTCCCCTTTGGAAGAACCCATCACAGTTCACTCAGATCACATACTCAACAAGCCACCCAGAGGGATTTCGTGCTAGATCTGAACAGAACACTGTAGAACTTGACAAGAAAACGTGGAGGGGCTTCCTTACACAGGTCACAGCCAAACACGGTCACGATGACAACCAAACAGAACTCCTTCGTGACCCTGGATGTTCCAAAATGCTAACTTTAGCCAATATCAAACTTCTTAGGACTCAACATATGGAGGGAGCTACAGATTGAAAAGAAAAAAAAATGCCAGAGAAAAACAGATAAAGGACACAAAGACTTGGAGAGATAGGAACCAAAATCTATAATGATGTAGACACAGGTGTTCAGCTTTCCTAACAGACTCAAACTGTGTAGGAAAGCAAGCTACCAAGATTAAAAGTAAGGACAAAAGTTAACAAAAATGTAAGTATAATGGTACCAAG